TAAACAACAAAAATAACAAAAAAAAAAAACAAAAAAAAAACTAGCCAAAAAAACCCTTAAACAAAAATTATAAAAACCACAAAAAAGTGACCTGAATGGATGCCCTCCCCGGCGCCTCAGCGGCGACGCCCAGCAGTTGCCGTCTGGCGACAAGCGGTTTAAGGGGGTTTATAGGGTTTAGGGTTTAGGGTTAAGGGGTTATGGGGTTTAGGGGTTTAGGGATTTTGGGTGTATAGGGTTTAGGGCTTTGTAGGGTTTAGGGGTTTAGGCTTAGGCCTGAGGGCTTTAGAGCTTAAGGGCTTAGGCCCTTCGAGTCCCTTAGGAGCCGGGGGGTAGGTGAGTAATTCCTCATCCTCCCCCAGTTCTTCCGACAGTCTCCCCAAGCTTGGGCCTCGGTGCCTCCTTAGACGCGCCTCCCTTAAGGACTTCGGGGAACAGTCCGGTCACCACGCAGCAAGGGGCCCTTTCTATTCAGGGCTCCCAAAAGCACCTTCATCTTGCAGAGGGGCCTCTTCTAACTCGAATGAGTATGTTGCGTACTTTTGTTGTAAAGATTAAACCCTACACCCTAAAAACCCTAAACCTTAAACCCTAAACCCTAAACCCGGGATCAGGATCCTCAAGAGCTCGCGGAGGCCTGAAGAGCTGCTCCCAGAATAGCCGAACCTCAGCAGGACGGATGCCTTATACAAGGGCCTTAATACTTCAAAACTTAGGGTTTTGGGGCACTTTCTAGTATAAACCTTAGGGAATGTTCTGAGTAATTATTCCGACCCCTACATTAGAGCCTAGACCTGTTCTAGGGGTTGCACCTTGGACCCTTAAGGTTGTACTCTTGGTTTTGGGAGACCCTTTTTGAAGAACGCAAGGAGAACATAAGGGCCATATTCGGAGCATAAGAAGGGGAACCTTTGGGGTTACAACCTTAGGGGTACGAGTCTTCATCCCGTGACCTGTGCTTGCCCGTGGTCTTTGTATGGACGAAAACTTAGGACTTAGGACTTAGGACTTAGGGCTTAGGGTTTAGGGTTTAGGGTTTAGGGTTTAGGGTTTAGGGTTTAGGGTTTAGGGCTTAGATTTCCTAAAAGGCTGTCCAGTGTGGCTGTTTCAAAGTACTTTTCCCAAATAGGGGTCCCTCAAAGCCCCCTAAACCCTAAACCCTAAACCCTCTACCCTGAGAGGCCCGGGCCCACTTGACTGGTCGCACCAGAAGAGGCTGCAGCCCTGGCTTGGTGGTGGCTTGGGAGGGGTTTAGGAGAACTGTGGGGTTATGAGTGGCTAGGGGATTTAGGGTTTAGGGTTGAGGATTTAGGGTTGAGGGTTTAGGGTTTTAGGGTTTAGGGTTTAGGGGTTGCTGGGATTTAGGGTTCAGGGTTTAGGGTTTGGGGTTTGGGGTTTAGGACTTAGGGTTTCGGGCTTGAGGAAGTTCCAGGTTCTTGTGCTCAAAGCCCTAAACCGGAACACCCCCTAAACGCGTTTAGGGTTTTCAGGGTAACCTCAAAGCCCCAAAGACCCTGAACCCCCTGTACCCGAAGCCCTGAATCCTGAACCGCAAGCCCTGAACCCAAAGCCCGAATGCTGGCGAGCTTGGAGCTTGGGTTTAGGGTTTAGGGCTTGGGGTTTAGGGTTTAGGGTTTAGGGTTTGGGGTTTAGGGTTTGGGGTTTAGGGTTTGGGGTTTAGGGTTTAGGGTTTAGGGTTTGAGCTTGGTGTTGGGTTGTAGGACGCCTTTTGGGTGCAGGATCTGGAGTTGAGGATTTCCGGTTTAAGACTGAAGGTTGAGGGTCAGGGTTTGGATATCCAAGGAGCTTAAGCCCTTGGCAAGCACAGATCTAAAGCGTTGAAGCCCAATAGGGTTTAGGGTTTAGGGTTTAGGGTTTAGGGTTTAGGGTATAGGGTTTAGGGTTTAGGGCTTAGGGCTTAGGGTTTAGGGTTGGGGTTGCGCGGGCGCTCCTCTCGGCCATCAAGGACGGCGTCCACATTGCCTCAGCAGAATCGGGACGCCAAACACACTCAGCCCGTCAGCACCCCAACTGGACCTAACCCAGCTTAGGGCTCAGGGATTCGGGCTTGCCCTGGCTGTCCTTGTAAACAAACCCAAAACCCCTGAACACTGATCCCGGAGCCCTGTATCCCCAAAACCTAAACTCCAAACCCTCAAACATAAGCCCTAAATCCTAAGCCGCTTCTAAACCCTGAAATACACCATTAAGCCCTCAAAAGCCTCAAACTCCAACAGTCCCCAACCCCCGAAAGACACTACTACTCTGCTCTTGACTGGCACATGCGCATGCGAAGCGCTGCAACACTCAGCTACAGACATGATTCTTGCGCGCGTAAACCCTAAACCCTAAACCCGAAACCCTAAAAACCCTAAAACCCTAAAAACCCTACAAACCCTGCAAACCCTACAAACCGTACTACAAACCCTACAAACCCTAAAAACCCTTAAAACCCTAACCCTAAACCCTCACTCGGAACCCTGCACCCACCATCCCCGGGGCCCCGGGCACACCACCTCACGCTGCTGTGGGGCACTGACCTCGGCAGGGGGAGCCTGGGTCGGAACCTTTGGGCCTTTTGGGGGTTTCAGGGTTTAGGATTTAGGGTTTAGGGTTAGGGGTTTTGGGACCTAGCAGAACTCAAACCTATTGGGGCTTAGGGAAACTTGGGTTTGTGGGTCTGTAGGGTTTTGTCGTCGTTTTCTTGCTTGGCTCTTGGCCTTGCAGTGGTTGATTTGCTCTGACTGCAAAGACACGGCAGCCTGAAAGTAGGCCTGATGTTTCGCTGCCTGCATCTTCGGCTCCAGTGGGGCGCACTTTTCAATTTCTGTCTTAGGAGCATGGCAGCAAACCACGTCTTCTTACCGCAGCAGCGGTCTGGCTGTGCTCAGCCGCCGCTTCGTCTGCGGCTGCTCCGCTCTCTGACCAGCGGCTGAAGGGTTCTAAACGGCTTCCGACCGGTCGTGGGGTTTATTGGGGTTTATTGGGGTTTATGGGGCTTATGTTTGGGGTTTAGGGCTTTTAGGGTTTGTAGGGTTTGCAGGGCTTGTAGGGTTTGTTGGGTTATAGGGATTAGCACATGTGCTTTTTAGGGCTTTTCGGGCACATGGGGTTCACAGAGTTTAGGGTTTTGGGTTTGCATCCTCAACAATTTTCCCCGAACCCTAGCTGGGCATTCAAGGAATGGAGGGTCCCAAAAAGAAGAAGGAACAAAAGCAGGCTACTGGGAGATCTAGCACATCCCGAGCCCTGTACCTTCATCACAAGCCCTTAACCACTCCATGAAGCATACTCTTTCTCGGGGGTACCGAATCGGGGGCTCTTTCTGCAAGCCGCATGCCTAGCCCGTGCTCAGAAACCCCTCTCACGCCAAAAACTCCAAAACCTCTAAATCTCCAAACCCTTGAAAACCTTAAACCCCTAAAGGGGGAGAAGTGTGCAGGTTGAAGGTGGGCGTCGCAGGGTTGAGGCTTAAGGTAGGGGCTTTACACTTTCTGTGGTGTAGGGTTTGGGGTCGTGATGTTGATGTTGGGGCTGGAACTTCCATGCGGTCACAGCTTGCCCTAACCCGAAACCCGAAACCCGAAACCCTAAACCCTAAAACCCTGAAACCCTAAAACCCTAAAACCCGAAACCCTAAACTCTAAACCCTAAACCCCTAGCCCACAAAGCCCACCCACCCACCCCGCGCCTCCACGCCCACGCGCGGTATGGCAGAAAACTTGGCCTTGCAGAGGATGCTGCGCCCTTTACCCTTTACCCCTTGCTGCCTAAACCCGAAAACCCTAAATCCTAAACCCTAAACCCCAAACCCCAAACCCTAAACTGAACCGCCATGCCGGAATCTCCTGAGGCCTCGGAACCCCCTGACGCGCAAACCCTGAACGCCCTAAACCCCAAACCCTGAACGCCCTAAACCCCAATCCCTAAACCCTATACCCTGAACCTTAAACCCTAAACCCCCAACCTAAAACCCAAACCCTAAACCCCCGAAACCCCCCGAAATTCCCAACGCCCCGTGGCAGGCGGGGGCCTTCAAAGGGCCGCAACGCGCACTTCTCTGCAGCTGAGGATTAGGGTTTAGGGTTTAGGGTTTAGGGTGTAGGGCGTAGGGTTTAGGGTTTAGGGTTTAGGGTTTAGGGTTTAGGGCTTAGGGTTTAGGGTTTAGGGTTTAGGGTTTAGGGTTTAGGGTTTAGGGTCACCAAACACCCCAAAGTCCTGTCTCTGAAGCTCTGCCAGCCTCCAGCAGGGGGACCTCCACCTTTCCGCCGGTTTGGGAATTCGGGTCTCTCTTTTTGGGGGATCCTTACTTTACGGGCTTAGGTTTAGGGTTTAGGGTTTAGGGTTTAGGGTTTAGGGTTTAGGGTTTAGGGTTTCGGGTTTCGGGTTTAGGGTTTAGGGTTTAGGGTTTAGGGTTTAGGGTTTAGGGTTTAGGGCTGAGGGCCGAAAGAGGGAACCGTGTGAACTTCAGGGCTTCGGCCCGCGGGGCAAGAGGTCTTCAAATGGGCCCTTGGGACCCAAATTAAAGGCCCATACTTCGGATCCCCTAGGGGATGTGGGGTCTCGGGTGCAGGGGTTCGGGATTTGGGGGCCTTAGGGGTCCGATGTGTAGGGGTTTAGGGCTTAGGGTTTAGGGTTTCGGGTTTAGGGTTTAGGGTTTGGGGCTTAGGGTTTGGGGTTTAGGGTTTAGGGTGTTGGGTTAGGGCAGTTTCGGGTTTTGGCTTCTAGGTTCTAGAGTTGAAAGTTCAGTGCCCCTGAAGGAGGGCTCAGAACACCGTGAGCGGATCGCTGTAGCCCCTAAGCACGTGTGTGCAGTTGCATTCCTTGCAGCCATAGCCCTACACTGCACTTCCCCATCCTGGCACCGACGTAGACGCCAGCGACGGGCGAACACCAGAAGAACACTCCGTCGAGGCTTGCAACCATCGAGAGGACGGCTGCTGCAACTAGCGGCCCATCACGGAACCAATCCCAGGTTCTCTCAACGGCTCGTCGTGCTCATGGGCCGGAACGGATGGCGGCATCAAGGACAGCAGCAGCCTTGGTCTTATTGGCAAGGTGCTTGGTCTCCTCGCAAGGCCCCGTGGAAAGCACAGCCAGATGGTCAGGATGCTGCAGCAGGGAGGGGCAAGAACCCCTTCCCAACTTACGATGGCAAGAAGCCGTCACCATCGGAACCAAGTCGTCCTCTGGTGGAAACTGTGGACTGCAAGGAGGCCGGGACGGATTCACTAGTTGGCGACCTGCAGACAGTTTTGAATGCTGCGAGAAAGCAAGAGAGTCGAGTGAAGAGGCTCACTCAAGACAAGTAAGACAAGACCCGACAATGGCAGATTTTCAGAGAGACATGAAGGCCGCGTTCATGCGGGAGCACAAGCGTTACTCCAGTGCTATGCTGAAGATAGAACAGGATCTACAGGAAGCACTGCAACAGCAGGAAGCTGCCCGGCTGAAGGTCCGGGAAGTAGCCATGGGGGCGCAGCCAGCTGCGGATATGGGTTCCCTTGCCGAAAGCCAAGAGTGGGAGAACATGATGCGGAACGCCATGGAAGATTTGGAGCCAGCGTCGCCAATGACTGGTGTGCTGGAGAGAGCGCTTCTTCAGCAGGCCCCACCGTTGAGCACCGGACAGAGTGCTGCCCGAACCCCTTGCCCTGTTGTGGCGGTACCAGTTCAGGAGAGTGCCTCTGCAGCACCTGTGATGAACGCATACACAGCAAACAGCCCGGGGCCATGTCTCAAGGACCCATACATGTCCTCGCCAAGTGGAGGCCTTGGAAGGACGCTGCAGTCAAGGCAATCCTCGCCAGCTGGAGTTCCTTCCCACCCTGCTTCGGGACCGCTGGGTGGCAGGAAGTCGCCTCATGCTCCCAGGGCCAAAGTCTCCGTCAAAGAAGCCACGAAGTCTGCGCCGTCTCATCAGCCCCCAGAAGCTTCCTTGCGTGCCAAGCTGCAGGCCAAGCGAGCTGCGCTCCAGCCTTTTGGAGTGGAGCCTGCAACGGCGCCTCCTGTTGCGCAGTCGAGTGGACCAGGGACAGTGTCAAGCGCCGCGCTGGAGCTCAGCGATTCAGACCTGGAGGAGCGGCCGCTGAGCAGCTTGGGGCCACCGTTGGGAGGGATGGAGTGACGACTCAGCAACATCTGGTGTCCCTGAGCTCGAGATCCCTGCGCGTGGATCGCTGGCTGGGCGGTGCCAGATGGGATGATGGAAAAGCAAACGCTTATGATGAGCACGATGGCATGTTAGGCGTTTGGGCTGGTGAGAGAGGGCTAGCTTCATGTATAGGCAGTTCTGTAGAGTTTCCCCTAGTTCTCGTTTCACTCCTAGTGGCGCCCTGGGGCTCATGCCTTGTCTTGACTCACTCCTCGTCATTCGTGTTGTCCACCTCGCCTCAGCTCTTCTCAGAGCTGAGCGAAGGCCACTTTACCCTTTTGCTATGGGGCGGGTCCGCACCGATCCCCATTTGCCCTACACAGCATGCCAATCCGTTAGTCATCAGCAGTTGGGCTGGCTCTTGGTTTGCTGCCTCTGTGCGCGCCTTTGCATTCGCGCCGTTCGCCTTCTTTGTATCAGGCTGCCCTGTCAGTGTGCTCGCGTGCAATTGCGCCCCGCGTTTAGGCTGCGCCGCGCTGGTCACTTTCTTCCAACGCTGCTCCCACAGCGGGCTCCTGTGCTCAATGGCCCCGCTCTCTCCATTGCCACCTTTGTTTGGCTTTGCTGTCACGCAGGGGGCGGCCCCATGCCGCTCCCCCATTCCTTCTTTGTCAGAAGCTCCTGCTTGGCGTTTGTTCCTTGCATGTGTCGCCAGGTCACGCAATGGCGCCTGTTGTTTTGGCTGCCACGTGTCTTCCTTGCTTGGCGACGCCGCTCACTTCTTCTCGCAGTGGCCTTGTGATTGTCTCTCGTTCCTGGTTGGTGCTTGTATAGTGGGCTGGCCGACACAGTTCGCGAAACATGTTGATCAGAGTGCACTAACATCCAGTTCCTGCAGTAGGGGGCGGCTGCCTGGTGACCCCCTTTTGGTTGAAAGAGCACTCCGTTGCCGCGTTGATTGCGCTTGGCATGATGCTGACGATGTGTGGCGTGTTGGATGTTGGTTGCTAAGTCGCCTTGGCGTGGTTTCCTCTTGCTTTGCGGAGTCATGCTGCGCTTTGGCTGTGACATGGCTGCTCTTTGTGACCCTTGCTTTGTGCTCGCTCTTGACCAGAGCAGTGCCGCTCAAAGGAGGTCCCTGTAACGCTGATCCCATCATTCGCGGAGCCAGGTCTGGCAGTGGCCGCTTTGCGTTCATGCTATGTGCCTTTCAATGCTTTCGTGTAGGGGCCGCTGCTCCTTCGCCTATTGGCTTGCATCCTCGCCCGGAGCCCGCAGCATGGAGTCTTGGACCACCACCAGTTCGAGGCCTTCTTGGTTTTCACTGGGACGTCGGCCCCAGCTGTGCTTCACATGTCCCTCCAACGCGCGACTCGCGTGTTTGGCTTGAGGCAGAACTGGGCCCGGAGCTACGCACAGTCCTAGACGATGTGACACCACGTGCCAGGGAGCTCGCTTTCTTTGATGCCTGGACCCTTCTTGCAGTGTTAGCCGAGCACTTTGATGGCTGCGCGACTGCCAGCGCCCAGACACGCGTGCTTTCACTGGCTGCACTCCTGCCAGCAAAAGGGTCGACTGAGCCACCTGTGGATGTGCCTTCTCACTTTGCCATAGGCGAGCTCGACCTTGGTTTTGGACCTGCTGAGGCTGCCGACCTGCTTTCATGTGCGCCCAAACTAGCAACTCTCGAGCAGGCCTTAACATCCTGCGATTGCAGTGATGCCGTTCGTGTCAGCTCCTTGTTGCCTTGGCGGCCTGACACCCTTGCAGGCTTTCAGGCCGGGTCCCTTCTTTGCTTCACCGACGGATCCTTCTCGCCTGCCACGCGGGATGCACAGGCCTGTGTTGGTTGGGCTTGCGTTTTTTATGACGTTCAGGCGCGCCATTTTGGGGTTCTGTCTGGTTCAGTCCCTAGTTGGGTTGATAGCGCTCCTGAAAACCTCAATGCATATCTCGCCGAGTGCCTGGGCCTATTGTATGGTGGACTCGTTGCCACCAACCTGTTTCGTGACAGGCAAGTCGTCTTTCTGTCAGACTGCATCCCAGCCCTCGGGGCTGCAGCTGGCACATCACAGTTTGCGCCAGACGGGTTACCGCAGGCCACTCGGCATGTGCACGATCTTGCCCTAGCATGGCTTGAACGCCGGCCTCTTTACCAGCACGTGCCGGGACATGCGGGGGTAATGCCCAATGAGCTTGCTGATGTTGTTGCAAAGGCGGCCGGGCGAGGGGTTTCCGTCGGAGGCTTTGATGGTCCGGTTGCTTCGCTTCATCATCGTTGGCTTGTTAATGGAGCTCCAGACGTTGCATGGCTTGCAGTTGCCATTCGAGGTTTGAGAGGGGAGAGCGGCTTGCCGCCGCCGTGCGGTGGTGGCCTTGGTGACGACACTTACCACGGCGGGCTCTCAAACAGTGACCTCTTGGCGCCTTTCATGTCAAGCCCTGCAGCCACTGATGAGGGGTTGCGTGAGGACTGTCAACTTGCTCTTCGTGTCGTCACGTATAATGTCTTGACTCTGAGCGGCGCCGCGGAAGCCCCACAAGGCGTTGCCCCGGATACTGGAGTCGGACTTGCCTTTAAGCCTGCCAGACCAGCTCTGCTAGCAAGGCAGCTCTCCCAGCTTCGTGTTGACATTGCTGCTCTCCAAGAAACAAGATGTGAAAAAGGATCCTTGAGATGTGGAGACTTTCTCAGATATTGTTCTGGCGCGGAACGTGGACAGCTCGGAGTTGAGCTTTGGTTCCGGACCGGAAATGACTTTGCAGTTGGAGCAGGTGATGGCAAGTCCTCCTTGCGTTTTACACCACAGGCCTTCGTCATGCTACATGCTGATGCACGGAGGCTGATCATGCGATACTCTGATGGAGGGCTCACCATTGTCTTTGCTTCCTTGCACGCCCCTCATCGTGGTTCAGAAAACACGGTTTTACTCCGATGGTGGCATGACACTTTGCTCCTCATGCGTCGCTATGCCTCTGATACACTCGTTGTTGCTGGCGGTGACTTCAACGCTAGTGTAGGCAACGTTGTTTCTGACTCTGTCTCTGATTGGGCAGGCGAGGAGCAAGACCTTGCGGGTGAGCAGCTTCATGCTCTGCTCCAAGCGTGTGCTGCTTGGCTCCCCTCTTCCTTTGAAGGAGTGCACAACGGCCCTTCGGCCACGTTTGTCCAAAAAAGAAATGGCCGTCCTACGAGACCTGACTTCGTGCTCCTTCCTCTTGCCTGGCGCTGGGGTCAGCTCGCGTCCTGGCTCGACCCTGGTCTGCACTCAGGTCACGATGTGCAGGATCACACGGCCGCGTTTGTTGACGTCCAGGTTTGTGTCCGAGCCGCAGGAAAGAAGCGCCCTCAGCGGAGACGTCGGATTGACCCCCGAGTTCTCTCAGACCCCCGGAGGGCACTCGAGGCGAGACAGGCCCTGTTGACTGCGCCAGTTGTGCCATGGGGAGTCTCAGCTCATGCGCACGCGGCTTTAGTTGTACATCATCTACAAGTTGCCCTCGCTCCTAATTCCAGCACAGCGCCCTCTGCCCCCAAACACGCGTACATCACTGCTGAAACCTGGGCTCTGCAGCGGGAGGTTAGCAACCTCCGCCGGGCACTGCGGAGACTAGCGGAGCAGATCTCTACGCAGCTGTTGCTCGTTTGCTTCAACCTTTGGCGCACAGGTGAGACCAGTGGCCTGCTTTGCTTCCTTGACTCGCCTTGGCGCCGTGAGACGCGGCACGCTGCTGCTATGCAAACCCATGCGCTGTCACACCGGGCCAGAGAGCTACGTGCTGCATGCCAGGCCGACAGAGATAGGTATTTAAGCGAGCTTGCCGACAAGGTTCAAGATGGGCGCGGGAGTGAGGCGTACCGTGCTCTCCGACGCCTACTCGGGCAGCGTCGCAAAAAACCTTTCGCGCCTGAAGTTTTGCCGGCCCTGCGCAAAAAGAATGGAGAGCTGTGCGAAACACCTCAGGAGTTGAGGGACCGATGGAGAGAACATTTCAGTGGGCTTGAGGCTGGGCAAGCCGCCGACCCTGCTGTGTTGCTTGGGGCTTGCGCGCGCTCAGATGGGCGGAGCTGGCCTGCGCCGAGTGACCGCTGCGAAGTTCCCTCTTTTGCTGCGCTTCAAAAAGTGCTTGCGCGTGCGCCAGCTGGCAAGGCCTGCGGGCCTGACGGGGTTCCCTCTGACTTGCTGAAGATGTTCCCCGCCGAAGCAGCGCATGTGTTCTATCCGCTTCTTCTGAAACTGTGTTTAAGAGGGACCGAAGCTGCTGGCTTCAAGGGGGGCCTTCTGTTCACCTCTTCAAGGGGCGAGGATCTCATCTCGACTGCGACTCGCACCGGGCAATCCTCCTCCTTTCGGCCATAGCAAAGGCACTACACCAGGCCATTCGCCCAGCACTTGCCGAACATTTCCAAAAAGTTTCGGAGCAGACCCATCTCGGTGGAAAGAAAGGCCACTCTACCATCTTTGGCATTCATGCCGTCAGAAGCTTTGTTCGTTGCAAGGTTGCAGCTGGCAAGAGCGTCGCTGTACTGTTTGCCGACGTTGCTTCGGCCTACTATACCACACTGCGTGAGTTGGCGTCGCAGCACCCACGTGCCGAGCCCACCCCTGTTGCCGACGAGGTTGTTGAAGGGCTGGGTGTCTCTTGTGAGGTTTTGAAGGAGTTGCGTGGCATGTCCGTTGACTCGCCTTCCCTGGCGCAAGACGATGCAAGTAGCTGGCTGCAAGCTATAACTGCCGAGCTTCACCAGGGAACTTGGTTTGCGCTTCTAGACGATGACCAAGCAGTGCTCACTAGGCGTGGAACGCGCCCGGGATCGGCTTGGGCAGACCTGGTGTATGCCTTTGTCCTTCGGCGTGTTCTTCGACATCGTGACAAGCATATCGCGGGCAAGTCCAGGGAGCCACAGCTGTGCCAGCTGTTGCTTGGGATGGTCAACGGACCCTGGACCCAGTTCTTGAGGGACATGGGAGTGTCGCTTTAACTGACGTGATATGGGCTGATGATCTTGCTAGCTGTGTTGAGTGTGACAG